GGAAGGAAGGAAGGAAGGAAGGAAGGAAGGAAGGAAGGAAGGATGGATCATTTCCAGCATTGTCATTCTTTGTACCATAGCCCAGTGGTGTAATATTTACTTTGTAGGCAGGAGATGCCTACATCTTTTTTTTTTTAAGAATAAATAAATAAATAAATTTATTAAAATGTTTAATAAAACAGAATAAATAGCTACATAGCAAAGAAGATAGAAACACAGTGAATAAAGAATAAAATATTAGTAAATAAGGAGTTTACAATGATACAATTTGAAATTAATTAAATGTGTAGAACTAAGTTCCTCATGTTATCTTAAGAAATAACTAGAAATCTCTATAAAGTATGATTTTAATATTGGTATCGCCACTGTATCCATGTAATCCAGTAAAGGGAAAATAAAAATAAAAAGGGAAGAAAGAAAGAAAAAGGAAAAAGAAGAAAAATCAGTCAAAACCTATTGGGAAACTACATAATTTTAAATTCCCTCACTTTGCACCTAACTGATGATTACATCAACATATTTGTAAAATGGTTTCTAATTACTATATTTACATCAATAATTTCCCCTTTGAAAAGCAAATGGTAAGTATCAGGGTTTTCCCAGTTGTGTGACATATAATATACAGTATGTACCTTTCTTGCTCAAAGTGAGTCAAATTTCTGTTCTGAACCGATACTGTTAATTTAGCCTTTGCTGCATATTCCCCAAATTTGGTTTCTAAGTCTGACATTGTTGTCAAAGTGTCTCTTTTCTAATGTTCAGCCAAATTTGTCTTCATGGCCCTCAGCATATATTTTAATAATCGTGATTTTTTAAATTTATTTGTTCTGGAACAATTCCTAGTAGAAAAGGAGATGCTAATTTCTAACCCTACCGTCCTTAGTTCCAAAGAAGAGTTTATGAGACAGTCCAAATCAGGGCCAGATTAAGGCCAACTGATGTCCTAAGCACAAGCCAACAATGGTGTCTCTTGGCTCTTCCATTGTTTAACTGACAAGACATTAAGACTCAGTAAGCGCTGAAAGTTAAAGATGAGTGTGGCAGTGAAAGAGTTAAGGGCATAATAGTTAGGGGGGAAACTATTTGGGGGGCCCCCTTCCCTTGCTCCCCTAAGCCTGTGCTTATTTTGCTTAATGGTTAATCGAGGGCTGGCCCTCTTACCCAAAATTTTGCTAACCATGTTTTGTTGAAAAAGCAACAATTGGCTGTATCTTCAAAATACCCCGATCTATAGATCTTGGCTTATGTATCACAATGGTTGGATTCATGCAACCCGTGGCTGAGTGCAATGTGTCATTTCAGCCAGTTTCCACTGAGTAGACACTAGATGGAGAGGACTTCACAATGCCATGGGTGGGAATTTTAATTACAATGGCCTTCCATAATGAAAATATAAAATAAATGACAGAATTGGACTCTAGATCTAATTTCACACAGCCCTAATTCATTACTTTTTTACCCAAAATCCTCCACAGAAACCCATAAGCAGGTGACTTACTTGTTGGCATCCTAAAAGCGTAAGGAAAGAAGAGTTCAGGGTGTAGGAAGAAACAGTTCTTTTTTGCAGGAAAATAGTAGGAGGTCAAAGATCACCCCAACAATCTGACAGCTACAGTGGATTATGCATGTTTGATCCCTAACATTATAGTATATCTCTGATAACAGACATTAGCTATCAGTTAGCTGCAGCTGAAGCTGCAGCTGGAGAAAGAATGTGCCTTTTTGGCCAATACAGTGGTACCTCGGTTAACGAACTTAATTCATTCCACGATTCTGGCCACAAACCGAATTGGTCGTAAACCGAATCAAATGTCCCCATAAGGTTC